AAACGGATTTACTAGTATGGCTTCTCCTCTAGCACTAAGGTTTCGAGATGTAGTAGCTGAAGGAACATTTCTGGGGGATCATACATTCCCTGTACAAAAAGGTATTACAATGGGAGTTGCCCTATTTATCCTTAGTGAAGTGTTTTTCTTCGTTTCTGTTTTTTGGGCATATCTACATAGTAGCCTAGCACCAACTGTTGAAATTGGTTCTCAATGGCCTCCTGCAGGAATTCCTGTTATTAATCCTTTTGAACTACCTCTACTAAATACTATCCTGCTACTTAGTTCTGGAGCGACTGTTACATACGCTCATCACTCTCTAATTCAGGGAAATCGAATTCTAGGACTTATTATAACTGTAGCTTTCGCAATTCTATTCACTGCTTGTCAAGGTATTGAATATATGAATGCTGGATTTACAATTGCAGATGGAGTCTATGGTTCTACATTCTTCTTCTCAACCGGATTCCACGGTATTCATGTACTTATCGGAACCATTTTTCTTCTAGTTGGTTTCTTTAGACTACTTAGTTATCACCTCACTGATCATCATCATCTGGGATTTGAAGCAGGTATTCTATATTGGCACTTTGTAGATGTCGTATGGCTGGTCTATTCGTACTGGTATACTGGTGGGGTTCATAATTTTCCCTTATTTATAGTATAAGAGATTAGGTATTTCTAGCTTAATGGTAAAGCAGCAATTTGTGGAATTGTCTTATTTCGGTTCGAGTCCGAAGTTATACCAAGTGCTAGTAGAAAAAGTGTATATTATTGAATAATAGAAAGGTCTAAAGTGATTTATGTAAGAGCAATATTAGAGGGAATAGTCGAACGAAAAATACTCTTACACACTAATTATAATTATACGAAGAAAGTATCATAACTTACAAAATTTAGCCTAGTTTCTACTAGTTCACTAACTAAGGACATTTCTCCCTTTTTGTTATAGCACTTTTACCTAGAAAGCAGGCTGGAATAGGCTAATAGGTTAAACCAAACCATTCATACTGGTTGATTGAGGGTTCAATTCCCTCTTCCGGCTACTTTGTTTACATTGTAAATATTATATGGTTCATAAACAACTTTTTATTAATGAATAATTTTCTATCACAATCACATAAAGAAATTAGTAGACTAATTCAATCCTATTTTCACAAAGGGATTATTCTAAGTGATCCTCTATTTCAAGAGAAACCCAACAAGCTAACGATTTCAGTATTCTACTATGCTGTGGAACCCAAATTTGCACAAAAAAGTATAGAGGTTCTTGCAAGAGAAATTACGAACCTAGTTGATAAAGAATATATTGTTCTGACTAGAGTTCATTATCCTTACATGAATAGTAGCATTCTTGCTAAATATCTTATCCATAATAGCTCTGCAAATACATTTATTCATTTTCGGAATGCTATTCTTAAATATCCTAAATTTGCGCGCAATGGTCTGCCATCTCACATTTGTGGTATTCGTATTCAACTATCAGGAAGACTTGCAACAGAACGGATTATTCCTCGTGTCACAAAAAATGTAGGCGTGTTTGGTTCTCTATCCAATGCAAGTTACGTTGATTATGCATCTCACACACAAAAGAATTATCTAGGTACATTTACCATTAAAGTATGAATTGCTATAAAAACTTTATATAAGGGATGAAGAAAGCTTTATCAATTCATTTAGTTCGTGTTTACTATAAATTTTCATTGTAATAGCACATGAACGTAACAATCATTATTTACCATGCTTGCTGCTGCTAAATACATTGGATCAGGACTAGCTACAATTGGTCTAGCTGGGGCCCTGGTGCTGGAGCTGGAATTGGAATTGTATTCGGTGCTCTAATTCAAGGAGTTAGTCGAAACCCAAGTCTACGAGGACAACTATTTACATATGCTATTCTTGGATTTGCTCTTTCAGAAGCTACAGGACTATTTGCTCTAATGATGTCATTCCTACTACTATACTCATAGTGAGCTGTTAAAAACAGTGTTTAGATCTTTCAGGGATAGGGATATTTCTCCCTCGGATTTGAATAGTATAACAATAAAATACTCTGTAAGTATGTTGGAATGGTAGACAAGTCGTGCTTAGGACACGATGGTTTTATACTGTGTGGGTTCAAGTCCCACTACTTACAACTTAATCTACTTTCTGTTATTCGAAGTAGACATAAGCAATCTTGGGTATCTTACTTTGGAAAGTAGGAGAGCATGCGATTACGAAAGGTATACGTTAGCCACCCTATTCTAAAAATAGGGGTACAATTTGGCCAAGAAAACACAGTTATAACAAATAAACATAGGCAATCTTGGCCAAATTGGTTAAGGCATCTAACTTCGGATTAGAGGATTGTTGGTTCGACTCCAACAGATTGCTTTACCAAATTTTTATTGTTGAAGTATAGTACATTCCTCGTTCGTGTTATCTATATAATAAGCATCAAAAACGAAAATAACGAATATAACTAGTATAGTAAACTGCTGAAAGCAGTTTGAACTGGTTTTTTATTATAAGTAGTATCTTTAACTAAGTAACATAACTAGTATAGTAAACTGCTAAGAGCAGTTTGAACTAGTTATTTTTAGTAATAACTCTCTCTTAGAATAAATAATATAACTAGTATAGTTTAATGGTAGAATAGGGAACTTCCACTTCTTTGATTACGGTTCGATTCCGTATACTAGTAGTTTCAATAAAGATGCTTTCAATTAGTCTAATTTCACTACTTATTGCAGTACCACTATTTTCCTACCGAATTACTCCGAATCTATTTAATCGGATTACTTGCGTAAGCCTACTTTATGCTTCATTCCTCTCTTTCCATACCTACGGTATGAATCAAGGTATTTATAATGGACTTTTTCATGTAACCACTGTTTCAATGGCTGTTGAATGTTTTATCTTTCTAATAGGAGCTATAGTTCTTCTAGGTTGGGCTAGTCGTTATACAGAAATTGTGCCTCATGGTATAAATACAGCTACTCCAACAATTCCTGAATATTCTATGATAATTCTATTTACTACAATTGGTGCTTCACTACTAGTATCTAGTAGTGATCTAGTATCTATGTTTCTATCTATTGAACTACAAAGCTTTGCTGTATACGTTCTAGCTACACTTTATAGAAATTCAGAGTCAGCTACTGCAGCAGGTCTAAAATACTTCCTTCTAGGAGGACTCTCTTCTGCACTAATTCTTCTTGGTACAGCACTGATCTATGCAAGTACAGGTCTAACACAATTTGAAGGAATTTACAGTTTTGCTTCAGGAGAACAAACACTTGGTATGCTTCTGATTGGTGTTGGTTTTCTATTTAAGGTAGCATCTGCTCCTTTTCATAATTGAGCCCCTGACGTATATGATGGTACACCTACTATTGTAACATCATGGCTAAGTACAATGCCTAAAATTTCTATCTTTGCCTTTCTTCTAGAACTACAAAATGGCATGTTTCAATCCGGAGAGCTTATTCTTATTGCATCTCTACTTTCACTAATTGTTGGAACTGTACTAGGACTATCTCAAATTCGAATTAAACGTCTTCTAACATATTCTACAATTAGCCACGTAGGATTTCTGCTTCTAGCTCTTGCCATTAACAACGAAGAATCTGTAGAATCTTTCCTCTTTTACCTATTCCAGTATTCACTAACAAATCTGAATGTTTTTCTGGTACTCCTAGCCTTCGGTTATGCAATTTATAATATATCAGCTAAAACAGAAGATATCTCTCTCATTCAGGAGCTACAAGGGCAATTCACTAAAAACCCGCTACTTAGTCTGAGTTTCGCTCTTTGTCTATTTTCTATAGCAGGAATTCCACCACTAATAGGGTTTTTTGCTAAACAAATAGTGCTATACTCATCAATTCATGCCGGACATTACTTTATGTCCATTATTGCTATTATTGTAAGTGTTATTAGTGCTTCATACTATCTAAAAATTATCCAAGTAATATTCTTCTTTAATTCTGGTACACAATATAAAGAATGAGGAGGATCACCTATTACAACTGTGCACAGTACACTTATTGCTGTACTTACTGCAATTATTACACTATTTGTGTTTCAACCATCTATTCTACTAAATGTATGTCACCTACTGGCACTTATGTCTCCTACTGGCACTTTCTCTATTTTATTATTAATGGCAACTATTACACTATTTATTCTATTTGTACCGGTACTTGTAGTTATTCTACTAATTGTAAATCTACTACTAGCGGTACATAAACCAGATTCTGAAAAGGTAACCGCATATGAGTGTGGTTTTCAGCCAATTTATGGTCAAACACGTAATCCGTTTGCAATTTCATTTTACGTAGTTGCTATGCTTTTCCTTATTTCGATCTTGAAATTCTACTCGTTTTTCCACTAGCATCATGTATGTATTCAGTACAATCCTATGGATTCTGAATTGTGATAATATTTTTCATTGTACTAACAATTGGATTTGTATATGAAATGGGAAGTGGAGCTCTGTATTTCACGGATCAACGATCTAAAAATCTCCCTAATAATAATAGTATAAGAAAAGGGGGGTTTAGCATAATTGGTTAATGCACTAAGTTGTCGACTTAGATTATGCCAGTTCGAGTCTGGTAGCTCTCATATACCTCTACCAATAAAAAGAGGGTTAAATAGGTTTGGTTTAAAATTCATTTCTCGTGATTTCTCACATTTGCATCTTATCGAAGTCCTTTAGGCTTAATCTGTATTTAAATGAATCTCTCGATTCTACTTTTTCTCATTGGAATTCTAGGCTTTGTCCTAAATAGAAAGAATATTATTCTTATGCTAATCTCTATTGAAATCATGCTGCTTGCTGTTACACTTCTAATTCTAGTAAGCTCTTACGCATTTGATGATATTCTAGGACAAACATATAGTATTTATATTATTGCTATTGCTGGTGCTGAATCAGCAATTGGACTAGGTATTCTAGTTTCATATTATCGACTACGAGGAACAATTTCACTACGATAATATGTTTCTAACAATTCTATTTCTACCGATATTCGGTTCTATTGTAGGTGGTCTACTGGGAAGAAAAATTGGAGTAACAGGATCTCAAATTATTACAACAGGATGTCTTATTATCTCAGCACTCCTGTCTGTAGTTGCCTTTTATGAAGTAGCACTAAATGGGTACTCAGTAAGTATTTATGTAGGAAGCTGAATGAATTCTGAAATTATAGATGTTTCATGAGGATTTCTCTTTGATAATCTAACAGTGTCAATGCTACTTCCTGTTCTAATTGTTTCAGCTCTAGTACATGTATTTTCGATTGATTATATGAGTGCTGATCCACATAATCAACGATTTTTTTCTTATCTTTCTATGTTTACTTTCTTTATGCTCGTTCTTGTAACAGGAGAAAATTATCTAATCATGTTTGTAGGTTGGGAAGGAATTGGTATTTCTTCTTATCTTCTTATTAATTTTTGGTTTACAAGAATTCAAGCAAACAAAAGTGCGATTAAAGCTCTTGTTGTAAATCGAGTAGGAGATATGTTTCTATCAGTAGCATTTTTTGCTCTTCTATTTACACTAGGAAATTTTGATTATTCAACAGTATTTAGTGTTGCACCATTTATTAATGAAACAGTAGTAGTACTAATTGGTCTACTACTTCTACTAGCGGCTATGGGTAAAAGTGCTCAACTTGGACTTCACACATGGCTACCGGATGCTATGGAGGGTCCTACACCAGTTAGTGCTCTAATTCATGCTGCGACACTAGTAACAGCAGGAGTTTATCTACTTATGCGATCATCACCACTAATCGAATATGGTCCTACAACTCTAATTGTTATTACTTGGGTTGGAGCGCTAACAGCCTTTTTTGCTGCAAGTACCGGTCTACTACAAAATGATCTTAAAAGAGTAATTGCCTATTCTACATGTTCTCAAATGGGTTATCTATTTATAGCATGTTGTCTATCACAGTATAATGTAGCT